AAAACCTGGTTGCATATGTTTCCAGTAGAAAGACAATCAAATTCTCGCTAAACTCACCCTTCTAAAGAATCAAACACAACCAATAAGGGGAGGCCATTCCCCTCTTCGCATCTTAGCCTTGCACAAATTCAAGGTCTGGCTATCTTCCTTGGATATAACCTGCAATTTGTAAATTCTAAGTTTCATATTTGTACACAACTCAAGCTTCAGTCTTTAATGTAAATAAGACTGAATCAAGTAGCATGTTTACAGATTGCTTACTATTAGACATCCATCGGACTTGTAAAATTTCACTGATGGAGAACAAAAGACGCTAACCAAAAAGCATATTTGAGACATCATTATCAAAACTACGAATTTCATGCTGGCTTTAATATCTTGCGTCCGTGTAATGAAAAAGGCACCCATTTCTAAATGCTGATAACAAGTTCGTACGGGTTCTAATTATCTAACATAGTAGAGTTGATTTAAAACATCCAACCTGCATTCCTTCTCGTTCATGTTTAGCAAGATTGGCAGATCTTGGGGCCATCCCAGGCATGTAAGTGAGCTCATTACTGAATTCTGTCCCTGTTGCTATCAATGCTGTGGCCAGCGATGCCATTTGCTCCAATCTCCTTGCGGGATCCTCGCTGGGATTGAAAGGCAACAGCTTCCTTCTTTTCTTTGACATGACTAAACTGCTGCCAGTGCGCTTTCTTCTCTTTCTGCCGTCTAGAATATTGTATAAACAGTAACGAATAATAGTATATTCATTAACATTTGAAGAGAGCAGACGCTGAACAAAAGAGAGGTTACGCCTGCGGGACATAGGGATGCGTTGTACTTGTACCTTGACCAGGTGCTTCAGCTGATAGTGAAGACCTCTGAATCCGAAAGAAATCTACAATTTTCGTTTGTACAAGAGGAAAAGCTGCACATACATGACAGAGCAGGAGTAAGTATGTCCGATTATATGGTCTGTAAAGCATTTGCTAATGGAAACTAATACACACATTATTGGGGCAAAAACTTGCACAACACTAATCAAAATGGGTTATACTTCTAATAGGACTACTTGGAGATTCTCAGGTTTAAACTCGCTCTTAATTTTAGCTCACTTATTAAGTAGTATATCATCGATTTATATCATTTCTACGGGCATAATTTTCCAAAAAAAAAAGTTGGCTTTTGACAGCCCGGAGAAGAAACTTTTACAGATTTTACAAGCAAACTGATGGCAAATGCTAATGAACTAATGACCAACATCCACCCCCCAGCCCCACCCCTTTGAAACTGGTGAGTCTAAACAAGCAACTCGGTCGACAGAATCCCATACTCACCACTAAACGTCAAAAACAAAACATGGAAAGTCTGGTACAACTTGAAAACGCTATCAGCAATTCTGATATACAAATTTCAGAATCTAAGGAATCTATTAATTGGGATGAAACCGGAAGGTGGGAGTAGGGAAGTAGACATCTTGAGTAAATAGCATGAATGCTTGAATTTGCTTCCATATATTGCAAAAAAATAAACTTTTAATAGGAAAAAAAAAGACATACTGGTGAGCCTTTTGTTATTGGAGCAAGAGGGACAAAACCAGGAGCGTTTAGGGACGGATGCGAGGATAGGCCTGAGGCAAAATAGGTGAAACCCACGATCACATTTGTCACATAACAGAAGCTCGTCAGCATCCTCACCAGACCCACATTTCTCGCAGCACGCATTGCTGTAATCTTCTTGTTCTTCTGCTCCTCCTTTCTTTGATCTGGATCTCTTTTTAGATCCGGGTAATACGGAAACTGGGATGGGAGCTTGGGTCCTTTTCCTCAGCACCAGTCTTGTTGAAGAAACCATTGTTTTCACTCCCAAGTCACAGCTCCCTTCTTCTTGGTTGTTTACGTAGGCAGCGTGAAATAGTGACAACAAAATAAGGGTTAGGACTTAGGAGGGCGTAGCGGAGGTTTTGGAAGATTTGAGGAACCGGGAAGGAAATGATTTGGCGCGCGAATTTGGTTTCGCGGGAAAATGGTGCTTGGCGCCAACCTGGTGAGAAGTAGTAGTGGGACGGGTGTGGACTGTGGAGGTTCCGAGGTGGACTGTGGAGGTTCCTTGACCGTTTCGTATTCGCAATTCACTTTGGTTATTGGGTTTGGGCTTTATTAACGTTTCTACTTGTAATAAATGCCTTCCAAGATCCAAGGCCATGCCTGAAGACGGCCTTTGAAGAAACGAATCAAGATTAGGAGTGCGAGCACACGGGTTCGGGTCGAATTTGGAAATTTTTTACCCAAACTCGTTTTTTGAGTAGATTCAAATTCGACCCGTATACCCGATGAATCTTGATTTTAGAGCTTCGAAACCAGGTTCGAGAGGACCGGGTCTAAAAGGTCCGAAATTAAATTCAAAGTCAATCATAAATTCAATCTCCAAATTTAAACAAATCAAATACAAAACTAAATTACAAATAACTCACAATATTCAATTCAAAACTAACCACAAATTAATCTATAAAATTATTACTAAATTATTAATTTGGTAAAAGAATTTATTTATAAATATTTGTAATTTATAATTATTAATATATTGTTTGAATCCAGGCCAGAATCCTATATTCTGTATCCGATCATTTTTTTTTATTAGAGTTAACGAGTCAGGATCCAAATTTGAGTATTCGAATTATTTTTCAATCCAAATCCAAAAAAAATTATTGGGTATGAATCCAAATCCGATCCGTTGACAACCCTAATCAATATTCAATAAGACTACATAGTCCGATGGATGTGGACGATATCAGTCCGACCCAATTGGGTTGTCAATCTCAAAATTAGGAAAATAAATAAATAAAATGAATAGTTTCAAATCAGGTTGTTGCGATTTTATCTGAATCATTTACTAGACTTCACCTACAACAGAGAGAATTTGGACCCTGGAGAATCACTTTCATGTCCCTCTACGGACGAAACACTTTAGTGTCATAAAAAAAGAGTAAATCTTTATATACATCGACAACAATGTATATCACCAAGCACTTTAATAGAGATATGTCTAGCACATAGTAATTTGTTCCTAACAAATTAGGACTACTATTAACAAACTTCCCTCTTATGTCTATCTTCATTTCTATACCTAAGGTTCTGTTTGGATTAGCTGTTTTTTAAAAATATTATCGTAGCTGAGTTTTTAGAGTATATTTTACAATAAATTTTGAAATATTTAAGAATAGTAGTATTTTTAAAATATATTTTAGGATATTTTTTGAATAATTTAAAAAATTTAGACTACTTTTTAGAGTATCTTTTAGAGTACTTTTTTAAAAAATTTATAGTATTTGAAAAACTAATTTTTGAAAAACTAGTGGATCCAAATAGAGCCAAATATTTTGTAAAACCTTTAGGTTCATGATGATAATTCTAAAAATGTCTATATGCTTCTTTATAATACTTATTTCCTTCTAAATTCATTAACCAATGAACCAGAAATCTTGCCGAGGGCTTTGATTTAAAAAATTTAGACTACTTTTTAGAGTATCTTTTAGAGTACTTTTTTAAAAAATTTATAGTATTTGAAAAACTAATTTTTGAAAAACTAGTGGATCCAAATAGAGCCAAATATTTTGTAAAACCTTTAGGTTCATGATGATAATTCTAAAAATGTCTATATGCTTCTTTATAATACTTATTTCCTTCTAAATTCATTAACCAATGAACCAGAAATCTTGCCGAGGGCTTTGATACCACTATTCACTAAAGAATTGTGAAGATATTCAACTCCGGTATTGCAAATAACAAAGCGATTATAAAAAAAAAGAAGGCCCAAGGCCGAACGGATTCAACGGCCCACAACCACCAAATTAAGAGTAGTTTGGGTAGGGCCGGAGATGTTTGTAAATCACTCTAATACTAGTAATTGTTGGCAGGACTCAGGAGTCCTACCTATTACAGTATTACTGTCCAGTCTGCTTTGGAAGATCCGTCATCATGGAATCCACGGGCGAAAAGCCGAAACTTACAGTAGCAGTATTTACTGGGTCTCTTGTACCGATTCGCCCCGAGTTCACCCACCTTGAGTTGGTGTCTGACTCACTCCGCTGTCGTCGGAATCGACGCCGAATGGAAGCCCCACCGCAGCCGCCAATCCACCTTTCCCACGGTCTCTCTCCTCCAAATCGCATGCCGACTATTCCCGGACTCCAACGAGTCGCCGGTCTTCCTTCTCGACCTATCCGTACTTCCTCTTCCGTCAATCTACGAATTATTGAGCAACGCATTTGTATCCCATGATATTCTCAAATTAGGTTTTAGGTTCAAACAAGACTTGGTATATTTATCGTCCACTTTCTGTTCTCAAGGCTGCGATCCTGGTTTCGATAGGTGAGTACGGTTTTCATTGTACTTTTTCTCTTTCCCTCCAAATTCTGTCTATACTTTTCATGTTTGAGTTTTTGGCTGGTCAAGGTAATGCATTTATTTTTTCAATTTTTGGCTGATGAAGGTAATACATGCTTTTTAAAAGGGTGGGATTTTTCTCATGCACGTTATTTGGACCAAAATTGCTCCTGCTATATAGCGAATTTTTTTTGGCTGACATTGTTGTTATTTTTCTGGATTGTACGTGGCTTTTACTTGTTTTCTTGGTAGAGAACATAGTTCAGAGGATGAAATAGGTTAGATTAACGATGTTGCAGACTTGCAGTTACCCTTTTTGCATGAATAATTTGTGATACCATTTCACTGATAATTGGTCAGAATAGGTGGAGCCTTTTCTAGATATTACAAGTGTGTACAGCCATCTACAGCACAAGCAATCTTCAGGAAGAAAGGTACCAAAACAAAGCAAGAGCTTGGCAACCATTTGCCAAGAAGTGCTGGGTGTTTCACTTTCAAAGGTTCGAACATTACCAACGGCTTTGCCATTGGCTCCATTCTCAAGTTTTATTATTGTGTTTGATTGCATTTTCGGGAATTTACATAGTGTGATGCATATGCTTTAGGAACTTCAATGCAGTGATTGTCGCACCGTCCTCTTAGCGAAGAGCAAAAAGCGTATGCAGCTGCTGATGCTCAGTGTTTGCTTGATATATTTAATGTCTTCCAAGCAAAGGTTGAGAAAGAAGGTTGGGCGCCTTAATGTGACTATTCGCTACTGTACATTCTTGGTTAATCTCATCATGTAGAGGTCACCTTTGAAGTTAAATGCATAGCTACTTTCAAGTGTCTGTTGACTGTTAATATGATGTGTGGACGCATGAACCATTGACGTTTATTTCAACGCAGATAAATTATCATTTTTCTCATTGAGCTTTCTTAATTGTGTATAGACAAAAATCTCATGTTCTTGATTTCTTATCTGTATCAATGCTTTCTTAGGTTATCTGGTATTAATATATTGGGCTATTAGTTGCAGGGAATTCTTTTCATAGGTCATCGAACTTTAACCTTGGGTTGAAGCAGATTCTTGAGATTTCTAATTGTTGTCAGACGGTCCTAAGGAAAAATGTCTCTGAAGCTTCTAATGTGATTCGAGCTACTATGCCTGAGTTCCCAGGTAGAATTCCTGCTATTGAGGCTAAAGCCTCTGAGAAATCAAGTGGATTTACCAAAGAAATGGATGTCATCCTCTTGCGTATTGCTAGAAAATATGGTGACAAAATTTTGTTGAAGGACTCTGACAGGAAACCTAAAATGTCCAAGAAAGGAAAAAGGTCATCTGCAGGGATGACTTACAAAGAAAGACTCGTGCAAAGTGTTGATGATTGGCAAGGGGCCCCCCCATGGGATCTTTCAGTGGGTGGTGATGGATGCCCCAAATTTCTCTGTGATGTGATGGTGAGTTGGAAGGTTCTTCTTTTCAATTTGTAGTAGCTGAAACTTTTTTGCTTAGATTTTGTTAAGGTTAACTAGATGATGGTACGTGATGGTCTGGGTGTGTACTCCTGTATCTATAGGTGGAAGGCTTAGCAAAGCATTTACGTTGCGTTGGGATAGATGCTGCTATTCCGCATTCAAAGAATCCTGGAACTAGGTGATTGTTCAATGAACAATCTTGGTGATTTTCAAAAGAAGTTTTGGAGTATGTATCAGCAGCAGAAAATGGAGACACGGTTCCTTAACTGCTTTACTTTTTTTTTTTCAGGGATTTGATAGACCAAGCAAACAAGGAAAAGAGGGTGCTTTTAACTCGGGATGCGAAGCTTTTGACACATAACTATCTGATAAAACATCAAATATACATGGTCAAAAGTCTTCTGAAAAATCAACAGCTACTTGAGGTAGATCTCCAACATTTTTTGGGAATATAATTCAGCTTTCCCCAACCCTACTTCTTATCCAAACAACAGGAAACAACAATTTTGATATTCATTTTTTTTATTGTTCGCCTGTCAAGGTTAATGTTGCATTTTTAGTGCCATCTCCTGGAGAATGAAAATTGGTTGACTGCAGGTAATCGAAACTTTTCAACTGAAAATTTGTGAGGATCAGCTAATGTCAAGGTGCACTAAATGCAATGGGAAGTTCATCCAAAAACCCTTAACAACTGAAGAGGCTGTGGAAGCTGCCAAAGGATTCCAAGTGATTCCCAACTGCTTGTTTAACAAGAATCTAGAGTTTTGGCAGTGTATGGACTGCAATCAACTTTACTGGGAGGTATTTTTTTTTTTAAATGCATTTTTTGGGTTCCATCTCATGTCCCCCGCGCGGGGCGCTCCCTTCTTTTTTGTTTTATTATCTCTTTCATCTATGTCAAGATCTACTTCATAACTTTGAAGCAATCAACCTGCAAAGTTCTGATTCTATGGAGGTCTTGTGTGTTAGTGCAACAGTGGATTCCATTCCAGCATTTTCTTGATTAAGGAATTTTTGTTTGTAAGATATTGTTTATTATTTTTTTATCTTTCCTTCAAATGAAGATACATGTACATTGCATTGGGCCAAAAATGCCATCTTTACTTGTTTTAATTTGATCACTGAGTTCATTTCAATGGATTCAGGATGCTGTTCCTTAATTTGGATCCTTTCTATGGTTAACGCAGAAACTTCTCTATTGCATAGTGTATTGTATAATTCATACCATATCCTCCTGCTCTATCTTTGCTGGAAGCTGTGTCTGCTGCTTTTGGTTTTAGTAGCTGTAGTGCTCCCAAAACATGACGGGATGTGCATGTGCATGGAGTTGCAATCTTGTGGATAGAGTTTAGAACCCATCTTTAGTCAGTAGTATCACCCCAGTCTTGGTTCAATGCACAGCATTTTTCATCTGAAATTCCTGTTATACAGAGCTTCCATAACCCTCCATTTATTGCATGAGTACTGATATTTAAGCTGAAATTTGAGTTAAATTGTGTGGATAAAACATTCAGCATCTGTGGCTTAGTGAAGTGATCTCCAGTAGCATTGCTCACATGTAGTTTTGTACACATTCTGTTGTCACAGGGAACCCAATATCACAATGCTGTTCAGAAGTTCATTAACGTGTGCAACCTAAATGAATAGCTCAAAGCCATTTGATTTGATGATCAAACAAAAGGCAACCATGCTTCTGTCGTGGAGAAAACAAAAGGCAACCATGATAAAACGAAAGGCATTGTGATTTAATGATGGCAGTGCTGTTCAGAAGTTCATTAACGCGTGCAAACTAAATGGATAGCTCAGTGCCATTTGATCTGATGATCAAACAAAAGGCAACCGTGCTTCTATAGTGGTGAAAAAAAATACTGAATAAAAGTTTTGTTATCTTCTCTCTGGCTCAAGTTCTATTGACTTCTTGTTACTTCGTATGTAATGGGCCTGCAACCCTCCCTAGAACCCACCCAAAAAAAAAAAAAACTTTTCTGTAGCAGTCCGCCTGTAACAACTTATTGTAAAAAGTAGCTGTTTGGATTGTAAAAAGTAGATGGTGTAAATGTTTCGGTGTCATGCACATCCGTTGAATGGCTCCATCACCCTTTACTCTCTTACAATCTGTAAGTGGGTGTGTGTCCAAATAATACTCTCACTATCAGTCCAACACTCCCATATCGTGACATAGGTGTTTTATTTTGTTTTTGACTTTTTTCCCTTCTGTTTCCCCCAATGGTTTCGTGGGTGTATCTGATATGTGTAGATTGGTGGGGAAGGGATTGCTTTGTCTGGAAGCTTAATCCTGGTTAATGATGAGAGGCGCTTCTTGTAGATCATTGTAATGCGCCGGATTAGCATTATAGATGTATGATATAGTGTGGGGGGAAATGGAGTTGAATAATGGCGTTGGAGCGTTGCTTATTATTCTTTTGATTGATAATTTAAAATGGACAAACAGCTGGTTATGAAGAATCAAGAATGTATTCCTTAGCCCATTCAGCTTGACTTGCGGATCAACTTTCTGTCAGAGCAACACATCATGTCGTCAAAAGCACTAAGATTATTATAGCGACTAAAACAATGGAGAACCTACAATAACAAGCGTTTTGTTTGGCAGGCAAGCATTATGCAATATGGCAAGTGTTATTTAAAAGATAGAGACAGGCTTGTGTGTGGACTGGACTCTGGGATCTGGACTCGGAGAAATAGAGAGATGGGAAAAAGCAAAAGGACCCACACGAAACTCTCTGTTGGTCGGTGGGTCCAGCTCCGTCGGATCATTTTTCAAGTTATCGACTTTTCGGACGTTAGGACAAATGTTTTTTTTTTTTTTTTTTTTGGGGGAAGGAAAACGTTAAGACGAATGTGGTGGAAGAAGGAGGCATCCATCTTCATTAAGGTTTATTGTGGCGCTGCTGTGTCTTTTGTTTCGATGCACATCCTTGTCCGGATGTTTGATTGTTTTCACGTTGAACATTGGCATTAAGTATCCTTGTCCAGATCTTCTCCCTGTTTTTCCCCATTTTTTCCCCCTTTACCCGGCGACCAATGAGAGAAAACCTTCAACAACCAAATGTGGAATTTTTCTGAAATTTTTATAAAAGAAAAAATTACTGTAATGATTTAATATATTTGAAATAAAAAATTGATTGAAAAATATGTTCATAAAAAAAAACAAAAATTTTTTTTTTAGAAAATTGCAATCCAAACACACCCTTATTAATTTCCCTTAGTTACATACATAGTAGTAGTATTTTATCTAGCCGGTAATTCACTGCAAAATAAGAGTTACAAAGGAATTGTGAATAGAACAATTAACAAGTGAGTTTTTTGAGTGTTTGTCTAAAATTTTACTGTAACTTACTGTAGAAGTTGTAAAAAAAATTTTTGAAGTGTGTAAATTTTTGGATATTTTAAAGTGTATGTTTTAAAATTTTTGAGAAGTTTTTTGAGATTATTATAACTAAAGTTGTTAAAAAATTTATAGCAGATAAATTTGATCAAAAACTTGCTTGCCAAATAAAGTCAATATTTCTCTTGCATTATAAACATATTTTTTAATTCACTTTTTTTAAAAAAAAATTATTTTCAACTATTTTTTTTATCTCACATACATACATTACATAAAGTGTTACAGTAATTATTTTAAATAATATTTCGAATAATACTCTGTCTAAACACACTCTTAAATTTAAAGTGAAAAAAAAAAATTTGTTAATAATGTAATAAAATAATAACAAAATAAATGGCTATCCATAAGAAGTCGGACGGGACTATGGATCTCGTGTTCCTGGGCTTCCGTCCTGCTGCTAGGCTCGTACGAAGAATATTTGGAGAACCTTCGTCGCTGTTCTGTCCTGACGTTTGACGCGGAGCAACTAGACTGACGGCGGCTCAGCTCACATTCCGTCATTATTCCTCAGATTGTTGGATGACTGGCGATAGATGGAGCGGACAGCCCCCTCTCCAGCGTTCACCACTGAAGAGTAAAGGGTAAGGATTGGATTAGGGCCGCCCAAGTCCCATGTCCCAACTCAACACGTCGCACACGCTCTGATGGGACCAAACGGGACTTCTACAAATCCAAATATTCTTGCTCGGTACCGAACGTTTCGTTTTCTCATTGGTTCCATGTGGGGTCCTAAATTCTTTCGGTGTTGACACTTTTTACCAAAGAAAGGGAATAAAATTTAGAAAAAAGGAAAATCGTTCAAAACGTCCCTCACATTTTGTAAAATAATTTTTTTCGTCTTTCGCTTTTAAAAATGTAATTTTATGTCCTTTACAAATTCGCATTGGTCAAATTTGGTTCCTACTTAGGTTTTCGACTAGTTTTTTGTCAGAATTTACCATGTGCCTTGCACGTGATCATATTTTTAAGAGCAAATTTATCAAATCAAATTTTATATAATTCGATTCATAATCCTTCACATTTCATAACATAAAATTTTTCGTCCCTTACATTTCACAAAATGAATTTTTTCATCCTTCACATTTTTTAAAATGATTTTTTTTTACCTTTGATTGCTCGTGTGTGTGAATAATTTTTTTAAAATCCATGTATATATTTTTTTTATTTCTCTTGAACAGTACGAATAGTATGTGAAATCAAATAGAGATATATTACACACTATTCGTATTGTTCAAGTGAAATCAAATAAATATATACATGGGTTTAAAAAAATTGTTAGTTTTTTACTTATATTCATTTTCTTTTACTCGAAATTTGAAAATAAAGAAGACATTTAATCCTAAATATTATCGAGTGTTTATATCGAATTAAATTTGGATAGAAAAAGTAAACAAAAGAAAAGTATGACAAAAAGAAATAAGTGATTGGCACTTTCAAATTTTAACAAAATCACAAGGCAAGTAATTCAACTGTTGGTCTTAAAAGTGTCGAGTAGAAATTTCAGATTTAAACTGAAATTTTTTAGCATAATTATAGAATTTGAGTTAGGACCCATTAATTAAATGACCTTATTATACAACTCAATAAATAAATTATTACCAAAGAGAAATGTCACAAATATTGAATAGGTTCAAATGGTGAAATCATATAAATATATATATGGGTTTCAAACAAAATTATTAGTTTTAAACTCACACACACACACATATATATATATCTATTGAATAACATGTATATAACTACGATTAGCATGTTTAGATGAAATTCAATAGAGATAAATTACATGTTATTCATACTGTTTAAGTAAAATCAAATAGATATATACGTGGGTTTATAGAAAAAAAGTTATTCGTATACATGATCAAAGAGAGATGAAAAAAATCATTTTGAAAAATATGATGGATGAAAAAATTCATTTTTTCAAATGTAAGGAACGAAATAACTCATTTTGTAAAATGTTAGGGATGAAAAAATTCATTTTGTGAAATGTGAGGAACTATGAATCAGATTATGTAAAAATTTGATTTGATAATTTTGCCCTTAAAAATGATCACATGCAAGTCACGTGGTGGATTCCGGTGAAAAACTAATCGGAAACCTAGGTAGGGACCAAATTTGGTCAATATGAATTTGTAAGTGACGTAAAATTGCACTTTTAAAAGCGGGGGACGAAAAAAGTCATCTTGTAAAATGTGAGGGACGTTTTGAACGATTTTCCCTTAGGAAAAATATTTTCTCACATATTATTATTGATTCTTATATCTTTTATATCTCTCAAATATACAATGATAATTTTTCTTCCCTTACACATACCGACTTTGTACCTTTTACGTCCCTCACGTATAAAATGATAATTTTTTCGTCTTTTACAAGTAAAAAATGCACATATTTAGTCATTCGACTCATTTCTAATTATATTTTTGTTAGAATTAAAAGCGCATGAAACTCATGCTTCACAAATTTTAATGCTAAACCAAAAGGCCACGAGAAAGAAAGGAAAAACATCTCTCACATTTCGTTTTTCTTCGTTCTATTTTTCTAGGCATCATCCATGGCTGCATCCAACAGCCGCTGTGCTCGTGGTGTCACCGTTGATCGGCACCATTTTCGATCACAAAATTTTATCAAAATTTTGTTAGATAAATAGCTACAACAATGTTAACACTATCTGCTTGAGTCGTGCGTGGCACTGTCCTAAGAAACTATTTCATGAAATTGAAATGTTTCCCCAAGATTAAACAAGCCTTCTTCTAATTGTTGCTAACAAGAAAGACAAGATTTCTTCTTGTTGCAAACTAGAAGGACCAGAACTAGCAAATTAAAACCAGCAAATATATATAAAAGACAAGAAGATGAGAACAGAATTATCAATAGGATATCAACTAACAAAAAATAAAAGAGAGAAGAGAGAGAGAGAGCAGCTATCAAAAGATATCAACTGAAGCTGCTGGGGTGATTTTCTGAGGAGAGAATGGATCCTATTTATAGATTTTAGAGTGAGGTGCAACCCTTCCACTTCCGATGTGGGACAAAAGACTGCAATCTTCTCACTTCTCAATGTGGGACAAAGAAAATAATACTTCTCATTTTTCGATGTGGGACAAAGAATATTTTGAAATACTATATATTTTACAACAATCTCCCTCCTATTTCAAAAAATTCTTTGGATAAAGGAAGAATTTTAAAAGTACTCTGCTGGATTTGGTTGAAATGTAATTAGATTGGTGTCTTTTGGACTATGAACCAAACATAGATTGATAAAACATGATCTACAGAATTATTGGTGAAATATAAATTTCTATGAACCAATAACTCTTGATGTATGACAGAGATTTTATCAATCACATTACAACCCATAATTTGCTGTTAACGCGATTTTGCGCTTTTTGCCGTGCGCCTGCCTGGTTATTCATGAGAGCTCTAAAGATTTGACCAATGAATCTTATAGGAGCGGCCCCACTCCACTCTCATATAGGTGAATTCATCAAGTGTGTATTGCTTTAACTACACCTCCCTAATGGGATATGAATTCATTAAGAGTTTTAACTCATCCTCACAATTACTCAAAGCACTTATCTCTGGAGGGACTTAAATTGAAGTGCTTTACTATCAATATTGACTTGTTATTACCCATATGAACCTACTTCATGGGATCACCAATCACATAGGTTGGGTTACTGTCTCTATTGACAACTTGTTGGTCGAAGTCCCATTTCTTTTGTAGTTTGAAGAATCAATTTTCTTCCTACGGGTTTAGT